TTTTTTTTTTTTTTTTTTTTTTTTTTTTTTTTTTTTTTTTTTTTTTTTTTTTTTTTCATGTTACCTCTTACTTTCGTGGTGTATAAATGATACATATAAAAAATTACGTATGTAACAAGCACGACGCAAAGTTAGCCAAACACTTATGAAAAACATAAATTAATCTATAATTCTATAGTAATAAAAGTATAAACATAAATAAAAATAATGTTTTTTCGAGTGTGACAAATTAGTGGGAATTTCTACATAAGTCAATAAACTTTTACGATATGCGGTACGGTGGGATACTATTATAACCGTTTTTCTTCGTCAAAAAAATTTATTTTAATTTGGTTATTTCGTAAAAACTTGTCTACGAAATTCATACGGAATCCATACGAAATTTGAATAGCAAAGTACGTCTGAGTAGAGATGAGAAAAGTTTGTTTCAAACGCATTACCTCAATAAAATATCGAAAAAAAAAAAAAAATGTTTAAAAAATATTGAAAAGAAAAAATAAAAGGAAAATTTTTTTACTTTAATGCTAAAATTGTTTTTAAGAAAAAGACTTTTCTTGTATTACTATTTTACATAGCTATAGACGAGCCATAAATGTATTGTCTAAAACATGAAAATAAGATGAAATAAAGTATAGACTTACCGGTTCTGTTATGCCGACGCCATTTTTCCCCAGAGATTTTCCTTCCTTCCAGCCCATTTTCAACAACATTTTGAAGCCCATGTTGTCTTTTGATATCAGCCTTCACAGAATGAAACAAATATCTCAGTAAATTATTTTCGTTTCACATGTAATGAGAAAAAAAAAAAAAAAAAAAATAGAACGCGAACTCTTGAAAGGGTTTTGGATTAAATTTCCATCGACGATTTTATGATCAGTCTTAATGGGAAGTGTAAACGGGGAGAAAGACTAAAAAACAATCCAAATGAATCTAAAAGTCAATAAATCGTATGCGATTAAGACTATCGTGGTACGGGAAAAATAAAGCAGAACGCGATCAGGGTTTAAGCTATCCAAAGATAGAGTTTAAAGATTCTGGAGAGAGAATAGAAATTACAACGAAAAAACGCGCATAGATATGATAAATGCAAATACACGTATGAAACAACTTACTCATACAGAGAACTCTGTTGAATCTTGCTGTCATCATTGTATGAACCAACAGTTTCTCGCCTTGATAGTGCTCTGTCTTGGTATCCAACAGCCAAAGTACTTGCTTTTTTTATATTATCTCCTTCTATGCCGAATTTAGATTTCAAGCGTTTTAATTCCTTTTTGTACTGTGTTTTCAGAGATACACTGTTTTGCTCCACCACGGATTCCAGTTGCAAAAGACCTGGCTCGCAATGGCCACATGTATCATTGCCATTGTGTATGTGGCATAGAAGCTTAGTTTGGTCCAATTGTATTATGGAGCCATGAACTATTTCACTTGGCTCGGATTCGTTTTTTGCAACCGAAAGTCTTTTGCCATTGAGTAAGGTTCCGTTTCTCGAACCAAGATCAATAATTTCATATACCTTTTTTGAATCGTTGTACTGTAGTTTAGCGTGATGCTGTGAATTTATGATCAATTATTTAACATGACTAGCTCGATGAATTGTTCGTATTGTTAATAATTATACTGTAAAAGTTATATGCATTACAATTGTTACCTTGCTCACATTTATGTCCGGTATAATTATCGAATGATCGCCTTCTCTCCCTATGGAACCACCCATGTAAGTAACAATGAATAAGTATCCTACTTTTAAATTCGTTAAATTTGTTTCTTTCACAATCACCCTCATACATGGCGGATAAGTTTTTGCTAGATCTATAAAATACAAGTAAATTGAGTCATATTTCATCAATAATTCTTTAGATTAATAATAATAAATCATCTGCATTCTTTGTGTAACCTTCATCTTTTTTAGTTTCGCAATCGCTGTTGGATGAGGAATAACTATCTTCATAGGATTCATCTTCACTAGAACTGGTAGGCAGCTGCCCTTCTTCTTCCGAGTCATCATCAGAACATTTGTGTTTTTCAGACTCTGATCCACTGTTTTCTTCTGATGACAACTTTGTTTTTTTCGTTATTTTCTGCAAAGATTTACATAAATTTAAATAAACGAATGCATAACTTACTACAACCAAATTTGTACATTATTTTGTAATTTGACAAAAAGCAATTACCTCAATCTTTTTTTTGGCCTTCTTGATTTTTTTTTTCTTCCTTACTTTGTTGACTAGATCACTTGAGTTTTCAGGTAATTGGCTATAAAACTTATAAGATTTACTTTCTTCATCGTAATAGTAATACGTTCTTGTATTCCCATTATAGTATAATTTGGAATTCTAAAAATTTATTTGGACATAAGTAGAGATAAAAATTAACAAAATATAAAGTGTAAAATGTATAGTGATTTACCGGATCATAGTAATATCCGGTATCACGGTGGTAATATAACCCAGTAGTATGATCATAAACAAAACCTGTTTGCAGCACAGCTGATTCCGCAACTTGAGTTACTTGCTCTAATATGCTTTTAGCTTCTTTTTCGTCACCTATGACCCATTCTTGCGACACTGGTTTTATACTACAATCCGGCATATTAGTTTGAGTTCCAGTATCTACAAAGTTACTCTTGAAAGATCTGTCCTCTTTTTCCTGGTGACCATACAAAAATAATTGCACACATGCTGAAGGTACTAAAAAATGTATAATAATAATTAGTGCACTTACATGATTATCCAACTTTTTTTTTAGATCTTGGATGATATCGTGTTGACATTTCGATTTTTCCTCAAGTTTTTTAATGTACTCAATAATATGTGGATAGTCTGCAAGTTCAGCAGAATAATCGTGAACTTCTACGATTTTTGTGTCAGCATCATTTGAACTTTCTTCCATCGTTTTTGAAAACTTAACAAATGTTTGTGCAAATTGTTACTTTTTGAGGTTTCAACAGTTAACGTTACTGTTATCTTTCGATAACGAAATTTAAATGTCCTGCTGTCATCTTCTACTGCACACGTATACCGGTATACCTGCCTGAAAAAATACTCTAAATACAGGCGCACATCCCAATGAAAAAATTTCGTTTTTAGTAGCAGTTTAAAACAATGCAAGTAAACGTGGCATCGATTACTCAATTACACTTATATAAATATCATAAACATCATTGTTTGACAAACTTTCTTAATAGTAAAGATAAATACATGCAGACGACACGACAGATCAACGATGCAAACCAATAAAAATTAAGTATATATTTAAGACAGAAATGCCATAATGTGTAAAAAATATTTAGGGTACTTATAGGTATATTCCGCAACCGACACCATCAGCCAGTTACATATATCTAAGACGACAACGTTGCGTGGTTGGGGGCGCTACTGTCGATTTACTGAACTGAACAGTACAGTAGAAAAGCAGCGCGCGCGTTTGTAATACGGCCCTGACTTGGGCGCAGCTTATAGCCTGACTTTCGCTCAGTAATCGTAATCGCCCACTTTCGTCTCCACTGATATTGCAGGGGGTCTGATCGGGGCATTCGATATCTTGCTTAAGTAAGCATTTCTTTAGATAATCCCTATAAAATGACCAAAAATAACAACAATGCGATGCGTAGTTTAGGGATTATCGACAAAAATGCTTAGTTAAGCGAGATATCGAATGCCCCGCTGATTACGTATATTACAACTACAGAATACAGAAACAATGGAATAGTGTGAAAGAAACGGCAGAATGGTATAACCCAATAACACAGGAATTTTCAGATGGTGTAACCCAATGGACGAAATACACGAATGGTAACGTTGGAACGGTATAACCAACAACCAACCCAATAGCATAGGAACGTTGGAATGGTACAACTCCATGACCCTATAACCCAGGAACGTTGGAACGGTACAACCCAATAACACAGGAACGTTGGAATAGTATAACAATTTATCCACCTTGGAGCGCTCCATTTATATTTGGATGCTGCAGTATCCTTCTATTATCAGCGTGCACGCGCGCTTGTATGAATGTACCATATGTACATAAAGTTGTGGGCTGTTAGTAATGAACTCGCGAGAATAGGATATCTTTTTTGTGCACATAGGTATATACCTATAATATTTATATTTTTGCGAATATGTGTATAACTGTGTGAGAAACACCCCCCAAGCTCCACACCAACGCTCCAAGCCGGAGTTGACCGCCAGTTATGTATATACAAGTATCCATACTATTGCCTATACAATGTACTTAGTATGAATTTTTTTTATGATACTACTGCTGATAGTGCTAATTGCTTAAATGCTCATGTGCTGGCATACTTCGTTTGGCCGTGCATACATTAGTTATCTATTTCTCTACACATGCACATATGTATTATACATAGGTATACATTGCAGTTAAGTTGACAAGCAAATGGGAGTCATGTTCCTGCAGTCAAAACCTGCATGAAGCTTTTCGTGTGACTTCTCCAGCTGGTATTGCTGTTTAGTTTAACTATTGTTTTGTTCTTTGTTACTGTGTTTGTTAGCGTTCCCCGAGGATTTGGGAAAAATGACAGTGTAAAGTGTAACTTCTGACCGGCTAATTCAATGTTCGTCTTTTTATCTTATCAAACGATTTCTTAACAACGTACGTAATATTTCCTTACGAACACGCGTTAATCTCCGTAGCAAAATTTACTGCTAAACAAGTGCCCCTCGTTTATATCAGTAAATGCACCAAGACGTGAAAGATGATGCCCTTAAAGGACAACCAGGATGTCGCGTGTTTCCTTGTCACCAAACACTCGTGGAAGGGCAAGTCAGTAAACCAATACTTTTTGCCACATGTCATTTTTCACTGTCGACTTTAATATTTACTTTTTGCATCGGATTCAGGTACAAACGTATTTTTTCCATTGGATCCATGGGCATAACAACGTACAACCCAACTACTCTAGAAGTTACAAATAAATGGGAATACACTGACGTCATAAGCATTCAGCCTACAAACAAAAATCAAGTTGGATCTCACGAGTTCAGCATTACCATGCGTAAAGAAAGAAAAATTGAAACCATGAAATTCAGTTCTGAGTACAGATCTCATTTACTTACGGAAGCTCTGAGGTATAGAAGTCAATTTGCCGAGAAGCCAAAGGACGTATTGGTAAATACCATTTTTATTCTCTTTTATAATTGTTTTTTGAGATAGTATGAGATGGTTAAAATTTTTTAAATCTTTCCAGAGGTTTCAAGCTTACAAGCACCACTGGTCTGACACAAGATTACCTGTAGTGCTAGAAATCACTCCCTACAGTCTTGATCAGTTGGATCCAGCAACAAATATGGTACTAGCTAGCTATTGTTACATGGATTTTGAAGGGCTTGTGACTGTTAAGGACTACACAAATGGATTTGTCGTAGTTTGCGGTGGTTTTGGCCGATTACATTTGTTTGCTTCTCAGTACATTGAAGAAATCAAGAAAAAATTGGTTGAATCCGCAATGAACCATTTGGGTATTATAATTAGAGTACCCAAAGAATCTATAAAACTGGATGACTTTTTTGCTCAAAGGTTTGGCAAATTCAGCGGAGACGAGCATATAACCAGCGTTTCCGAATTTACTGTACAGAAAAATTCTTCGAGACATTCAGAGGCCCAACGCAGAACTCTCTGTCTTTCCGACACTTGTTTGTTAGAAAGAGATCCGCAGACTTATAACATTTGCACGTTAAGGCCGCTATCTGATATTTTTGCTTTGGTTCGTGACAATCAGAATCCTCAGTTATTCACAGTCCAATATATCAATGGCCAAAGGCGCAGTTACATGGCAACTGATCGAGATTCGCTGTTGGCTTCTCTGTTGGACGGCGTCCGAGCCTCGGGTAACAGAGATGTACACATCAAGATGCATCCAATAAATCGTGGCAAAAGATTGGGATCTTTAAGCTTGCCAGTTGAAGAAGAAGTTGAAATATTGCACGTGAAATTCCTCCAACAACCTCCCAATGGACGCACGTTTGTAGAAATCTTGGAAAGATTCAATGCAAATATTCCTTACAGTGGCCTTTTGTATTCCGTCACGCAAGACGTAAGTTTTGAATCGATAACAATACTCACAACTTTGTAACGTTATTTGATGTTGAACGAAAAATAATTGCAGGGACTTTTTACGGAGAACAAGGATAAAATAATTCTCGGAGCTTTAAATGCCGTAGTGAACAAAGATCTGGATACGGACTTTGAGATCGAGGCGCAGTTCCACGCCCTTCGAAGATTAGTGGCCAGTAAAGTCGGCTTCACAGCTTTTACAAATTTAGCTGGTTTTCGCGAAGCCATCGGAATCAAAGTAGTTAAGGCATTGAAACGACAGAATTGCGGTGTGACTCAAGTCGCGATCGACTGCATATGTGCTCTCATGCAACCAATGCACGACGACTGTGACTTGAGACAGGAGCAATTGAACAAAAGCAGCCTACTGAGTAGCACCAAATTCTTGGAAAGTTTGCTCGAAATGTGGATCAATCACGTGGTAAGTGAGACATATACTGGCAATATAATTCATTAAGGCCACAGTGTTTATTTCTCTTTGTTGTTCTATTGGCTAGAATCACGGGACCGGAGCTCTCGTTGTCTCGGCTATGCTGGATCTCTTGACCTTTGCCCTATGTGTTCCATACAGCGAAACGACGGATGGCAAGCATTTTGACAACTTGCTGGAAATGGTGGCCGCGAGGGGCAGGTTGCTCTTTAAATTATTCCAGCATCCATCGCTAGCTATTGTTAAGGGTGCCGGCCTGATCATGCGGGCCATCATCGAAGAGGGTGCCCAAGAGGTTTCAGCCAAAATGCAGGAGCTGGCTCTTGCTGAAGGTGCGCTGCCCAGGCATCTTCTAAATAGCTTGTTTACCGCTGGCACCGATGGCAGGTTTCTCACCCACCGGCAGCTGTGTCGGCATCTCGTCGGGCTCTGGGTTACGGCTCACCCAACGGCTATGGCCCTTTTAAAAAGGATTATGGTTTGTCACGCTCCTTCTCTATTCTAGTTTTTTTTTTTTTTTTTTTTCTATTATCCCCAACATTAGTTTTTACGTGGTACTTGATTTCTACATTATTCTTTGCATTTCGTTGGCAGCCGATTGGATTGTTAAATTATTTGGATTCGGAAGAAAAAGTACCAGAATCGTACGTAGAAGAGGAGAGGCTAGACTACCGGGACAATTTGAAAATAGCAATAGACCACGCTGCGAGGAACAGAAAAAGTTCTCAGTGGATAGCAATAGAAAAACAAATGAGAGTGGTGGAAAAGCACTTGGAAAACGCCTTGGAGCACTGGGGAGCGAAAGTCGGTATCGAGAGGAGGGAAAAAATCAAGGAGAGGCCGATAGTTCTGAGAAAACGCAGGGAAAGAGTAAAGTCGGAAGCGAATTGGAAGTTGTTTTATTACAAATTCAGTCAAGACCACGAGCTGCCTAATTTGATATGGAATCACAAGACACGCGAAGAACTGCGCACGGCCCTCGAAAACGAAATACGAGCGTTCTCGTCCGACAAAGATTTGTCTGGTGGAACTCTGATAGCGTGGAACCACCGCGAGTTTGAGGTACAATACCAGTGCTTGGCGGACGAAGTCAAAATAGGCGATTATTATCTAAGATTGCTTCTAGAGAAGGACTCGCCTGATAATCCTATAAGAAAATCGTAAGTCAAAGGACTATTAAAAGCAATTTATCATTTTTTCATTCGACACTCTAGCCTCGACGACTACTCCTTACTTGTGTATTACTTGGGATCTCGGTCCTTTGTAATACATCCGTTTGGCTTGGCCTTCAGTCACCGGGCAGTCACACATTTACCACCCTTCACTCACAAACATCAGTTCCATTTATTCTCTGATAAGTTTTGTATTTACTTTGCCTTCTGTTTTTTACAAATATTTATTTCAGGTACGAATTTTTTAATGATTTATATCATCGTTTTTTATTGACAACTAAAATAGATATGAAGTGCCTTTGTTTACAAGCCATGAGCATTGTTTACGGAAGATATTACGAGGACATTGGTCCGTTCTCTGACACAAAGTACATAATAGGTATGCTGGAGCGTTGCATCGATAGGACGGAGCGCGACCGATTGGTCATGTTTATAGAAAAGCTAATACTGCACCGCAGAAACGTCAAAGACATAATGGACCAAAATGGGGTGCGCATAATCGTAGACCTGTTGACCCTGGCGCATCTGCACACGTCGCGAGCGGTCGTGCCGACCCAGACTAACGTCATAGAGGCAGGGCCCAGTCAGGGCCTTGTCCTCGAGAAGGAGTGGTACTACAGCGAGGCCGACAAGCGCAAGGGCCCCATCAGCGTCAAGGAGCTAGGTGAGCTCTACACTGCTGGCCAGATAACACACAAGACGAAAGTTTGGTCCCAGGGCCTGGACAGCTGGCGGCTGCTGTCCCAGGTACCTCAGCTCAAGTGGAGCCTCGTCGCCAAGGGCAGCGCCGTCATGAACGAGAGCGAGCTCGCCACCCTCATCCTCAACATACTCATAAAAATGTGCGAGTACTTTCCAAGTCGAGACGCCGACAACGCGATAGTTCGACCGTTGCCTCGGGTCAAACGATTGCTCTCGGACTTGCAATGTCTGCCACACACCGTCCAGCTGCTGCTTACTTTCGACCCAGTCCTTGTCGAGCGGGTGGCCATTCTGCTCTCCGAAACCATGCGCGACAATCCCGAGATATCGAAAATCTATTTGACCGGCGTCTTTTACTTCATTTTAATGTATACGGGCTCTAATGTACTGCCAGTAGCGAGGTTCCTTCAGCTGACTCACGCTAAACAAGCCTTCAGAGGCGAGGAGGTAACTGTTTGACATTTTTTTGCTTTTGCCAAAATTACTAAAATTTCTATTTCTACATTTATTTTATTTTCAGAACACGTCTTCGGATATTATGCAGAGGAGCATTCTCGGACAACTTTTGCCAGATGCAATGATCAGTTATTTAGAAAATCATGGAGCTGAAAAATTTGCCCAAATATTCCTCGGCGACTTTGACACGCCCGAAGCAATATGGAACGCCGAGATGCGAAGGATGCTAATTGAAAAAATTGCCGCCCACATAGCCGACTTCTCGCCAAAACTAAGGAGTCATACCATGTCTCGGTATCAGTACATACCTATTCCTGCTGTCCGCTACCCACAACTGGAAAAAGAATTGTTTTGTCAAATATTTTATCTACGGCATCTCTGCGATACCGTCAAATTCCCAGACTGGCCCATCGCGGAACCTGTAAATATCGTTTTCGTTCGACTTTAGTAAATCTTGGTAAATTATATTATTTTAATATATATATGTATTTTTTTTTTTTTTTTTTTCTGTAAAGGTAAAATTACTAAAAGATGTGTTGGATGCGTGGAAAAAAGAAGTAGAGAAAAAACCACCAATCATGACTGTTGACGAAGCGTACAAAGTATTAGGATTGCGAAGCGGTCAGCACCACGACGAAGCTATAGTTAGAAAATCCTATTACAAATTGGCGCAGATGTATCATCCTGATAAGAATCCGCAAGGAAGGGTAAGTCTTAGAAGAAAAAATTTGTTAAAGTGTAACGTCATGTAAATAATTTAATACGTTTGATTTCAGGATAAGTTTGAGGGTGTCAATCAAGCATACGAATTTCTCTGCAGTAGAAACTGCTGGTCGACTGACGGGCCGAATCCAGATAACATCGTTCTGATCCTAAAAACTCAAAGCATACTGTTTCACAGGTACAAGGAAGAGCTTAGCCCGTACAAATATGCTGGCTACCCGCAGCTGATTAAAACGATAAAGCTGGAAACGGACGACGAGCGTCTATTTTCAAAGGATGCACCGCTTCTTGCCGCCGCGAGCGAGTTAGCTTATCACACGGTTCATTGCTCTGCTCTGAACGCCGAAGAGCTAAGGCGAGAGGGTGGCTTGGAAATATTGTTGGAAGCTTATTCGAGATGCGTCTCTGTTTTGAGTAAATCCAGTAAGCCCAACGACGTGGCCGTACAAGTTTGCATGCACATAACCAGATGCTTCGCGGTCGCTGGTGCGTTCAGGGGCTGCCGTGATAGAATAGTCGAGCTTCCTCAGCTAATCAAGGACTTGTGCAGAGTCCTACACTTCAGGGTAAATACTTTTTTTCTAAGTTAACTATTTCAAAATGATTGTGTTATCGATTGTCGATTATTTTTGCAACCAGCACCTGACAAAATTGTGTTCCGTGGCGACGGAATGCATCTCGTCGCTTGCCACAGACAGCGTACTTCAAATGCAACTCTTGCAATCTGGAGCTTTGTGGTACTTGTTGCTCTTCATGTTCAATTACGACTACACTCTGGAGGAGGGTGGAGTTGAAAGGAATCAGGACGAAAATCGGCAGGAAATCGCCAACAATCTCGCCAAACTGGCGATCAGAGCTTGCGCCAAGATGGGCGGCTACATGAAGGCCGAGCACGAGACGCCCTACAATCCAGTTACGGTAGCAGCTTTAGAGAGCCTCCTGACGCCTTATTTGACCAGACAGCTCGGTAACGATAAGCCAGAAGAGATACTCAAGACACTAAATTCCAATTGCTACAATCCCTATTTAATATGGGATAACGGAACCAGAGCCGAGCTGGCCGAATATCTTGAGAACAAACTCAGAGAGAAGCTGAGCGGCAATAACAACTTTGAACACGACTTTTCGCACTTCACCTACAGCGCGCACAAAGAAGAACTCGTCATTGGCGAAATATTTGTCAAAATTTACAATGAACAATCGAACTTCCCGATCGAGGTAAAATTAATTAAGTAACGAATTGAGACGAGCTAGTAATTTCTTTCTTCAATTTACGTTATGTTCACCGTTTCATTTAGAATCCCAAAGGCTTTACGATTGATTTACTAGACTACTTGACGAAAATCTTGGATTTCAGTATAATGCCTGGTAAAAACGTTGCTTTAGTCAAGAAAGACCAAGAAAACTTGAAAAACATCACCATGTCGCTGGAAGCACTGAAAAATATCATAAAAAATAATCCAGGTGTAGAAATACAGTGCATTGGGCACTTTAAATTACTTTTCAACTTATTAAATTACAGTGACTTCAAAGTTATTCAAAACGCTGCGCTCTTGGTTATCAGCAACGTGACAAAGAATCAAGAATGTGTGAACGATATAGCAGCCAATGAAGTTATTTTAAATTTGTTGTTATCCCTGAATAGTCTGAAGGATTCTCAACTCTTAGTCGTGGAAACTCTCTACGCACTCATGAGCACGACGAAAATTGTTAAGGAAGCGCTAAATAAAGGTAAAAAAAAAAAAAAAACTTGTCAAGGTTTGACTTAATCACATTTGATGTTTGAACATGCTCGAATTTCGTTTACAGGAGCTGTTGTGTACATTTTGGACTTGTTTTGTAATTCGACGAATTCTCAAATTCGCGAAGCTGCTGCCGAGTTGTTAGCTAAAATGTCTTCTGATAAACTGGCCGGCCCTAAGGTCAAACTTGATTTGTCAAAGTTCTTGCCTCGATTGTTTAGCGAAGCTATTCGCGATGCCCCAAAACAATGTGTTCAAATGTTTGAAAGTAGACAAGAAAATCCCGAATTGATATGGGATGATGATACAAAAATCAGAGTATCAAGAATCGTTGCTGAACTGAAAGATGAGTGAGTTTGAATTTTTTTCAACCATGGAATACGTGATTTTGTATAAAATTTGCTACCACTATGAAAAAAAAAGTAAAAATTACCAAACCTCTAATTATTTTCAGATATTACAATCTCCAGTGTAGAAATCCTAATGCTGCATTGAGACTTCCTGATACGAAAAATAATGTTGATAATATAACTAATGAACCAGTGGTGGGAGGAGTTTATCTAAGATTATTTATATCTAGTCCAGCATGGGCTTTGAGGAAACCAAAGGAATTTTTGAGCGAATTAATGGATACCATTTTAACCTTGATGTCCAAGGAAAAGACTGACGTAAGAGAATAATTTGTGTTTGTTTTTTATTAAAATATTGTAACAATCATTTTAGTGCACACATATTTTTGTTTCGCTTCAGTTGGACATGTTAGAATTATGCACGCAATCTCTTGTGTGCCTACTGCAAGCACAGCCAGCTTTGACGGATCAAGTACCCTCTTTGGGTCACATTCCAAGATTGTGTCGACAAATGGCCATGCAAAATAATCAACCATTGGTCTATAAAGCTGCTATTCTTATACTTCATCAACTTGCCACCAGTGAAGTTAGTATGCGATTTATGGCATTTTTTACAGCCGATTTAAAATGAGCGCACCTAATCATTAACACGTGGTATCTTTTTTTAAGATTTGTATATCTTCGATTTGCCAAACGGAATGTATCAGTCCGTTAAAACATGCCATGCAATCGAGGAAAGATATGATAGCAATAGCGTGTGAAACATTAAACAGGTTATTTTCTACAAACGAAGATAGGCTAATCAAGCAGGTAAGAACAACCCTCATTTGAATGTGTACACACAAGATAGATAGTATTTTCATTGAGAAATTATGGAACAGGCTTTGGAAGCTGAAATGGTCCCGTACTTGTTGAAAATCCTCGAAGGTCGGCTGGATATTGTTGAAAATCCAGCTACTACCAAAGCTCAGATAGTCAAAGCATTGAAGGCAATGACAAGAAGTTTTACCCTTGGTGACAAAGTAACTGCTATACTTGAAAAGTCTAGTATATGGGCTGAATACAAAGATCAGAAACACGATTTGTTTATTTCAAACGCCCCAATGAGTGGTTTCCTCACAGGTAATACGTTGATGCGTTTTTCCAGTAATTTTTTTTTTCAGTTTTTCGATCCTGAAATATTTATGTTAATGATTATTTCAGCTGGAACGGCTGTGTCAGCAGGTTACTTAACAGCGGGACCAAGTGCTTCAATTTCGACTGGACCACCACCTGTGGACAAGGAAGACAGTGTTGTAAATAGAAAAGACAGTATCTGATACGGGTAGAAATATTATGACGTTGGAAGTTCTCAACCAAGAACTTTTGGAGATTTAAGAAACTTGGATGTTTGGATGCATCGAAATAACTTTATCTGTGATTTATATAACTTTTAAAGAATGAGTAAAAAGCGAGCATCTACACTTTTTTCCAATTTTTAGTATTTTATAAAAATGAAAGTTCGAAAGAGCTACACAGTGACACTTTTTTTCAATAATAAATGTAATTTCCTATATATTTTACTTACCGTGTCGTTCAATCGTATGGCCTTTATTCACGATTCATTTGGAAGGTGTGGTGTGAGGAATTTTTTTTTTTTTTTTTGTAATTGAGAACAAGTTTAAATTCGTGCATTTTAGTTAATTTTTTTACCACGCAAGTAATTATTTTAATTAAGCGACTTTAAAAATTAAAAAAATTAAATGATAAGTATTTGAGGTCAAGTCGTAAAAATTTTAATTTACTTTTCTGTGGACTATGTCAATCGGCTGTCACTTGACCACCAGTGATGAGTACGTTCAAATATGCCAGTTGTCGCTTCAACTGGCTGAAAGTGGGTCTGTTTAAAGGATTCTCACGCCAGCACGAGAGCATTATTTCATAACTGAAAAATTGACAGGGATTAGTAAGTGTTTGCCAGTACATCCGGGGAATGAACATAAGCTCCAAAAACTACTGGCTTACAGTTCAAATCCACAACTGGAGGGCCTCTTCATACGATATCCCGACTGTAAAAGGTGCAAAATTTCGCTGCTGTGCCACTCTGGGTAAGGGTTGCCGCCTAGAGTTACTATTTCGTAAAGCAGAATGCCAAACGACCAGCTGTCGAAGTAAAAAATTACATCTACACGTTAGAACCATCGAACTGTCGAGCCGTCATTAGTGATTGTCATGAAAAAAAATGAATGAAATAATGAATGAAAAAAATTGCACAAGAGGGACTTACACGTCACTGTAAGTGGTGTAAATGGTGTACGCGAGGCTTTCAATGGCCATCCACTTGAGGGGCAGTTTATCGTTGCTCTGTTTTTTGTAAACGTTCTCCTGGTAAATGTCGCGACTGAGACCGAAATCAGAGATTTTCACCGTCTTGTCGGCACAAACAAGCACGTTCCGGGCGGCCAAGTCGCGATGCACGATTCGGTTGGACGACAGGAATTCCTGTTGGTTCAAAATATTCTTGTAGTTAAACGATTGAACCAATATACCAAAGTGAGTCGCACTTACCATGCCGTTAGCTATTTGGCGAGCAATGTTGAGCAGATCTTCGTTGTGCCCGTTCATCGCTTCTAAACGATACAACGGCGATTGCCCGGGTGATGATAAAATAAAAATCTTCAAAGTAACAATTGTTGGCTGCAATTTAAATGAATTTGAATCAAACTTACCTTGCTGGATGTCGTACAAGTAGTTGTTGATGGCCCACCCCACGTTGTGATGGCCCTGCCGAGCTTGAATAAAATACAACGATTAAATAACAAATGCCGTCAATACTCACGCGATGAAAAGCAACTCACGAAAACTCAAAGCGTCCGCTTGGCTCTGTATTTTCTTACTCTTGAATATGTCCATCGCCGTATCCGACAGAATCTGCGAACCGTAAGAAAATCAATGAACGCAATCGCAGGTGTACGATTTTGAGCTTAGCGAGCGAATCACTTGTACCGTTCTCAAATACGTTTGCAAGTCTCCTCTGTCGCAGTACTCGACGATCAGCAGGGGCCTCTTGTCCAGAGTGCAGCACCCGATCAAAGAAACGATGTTTTTGTGATTGCCGATTGATTTCATTAGTGAAATTTCCCGTTGAAAACTCTTCAGATCGTTTTCACTTGCCTCGTCTGTGAATGGCATTTTTTTTTCGTATTTTCAAATAATTTTCTCATTAACAGTGAGTGTACCTATACTTTATACGCTTGCGAAAATTCGCTTACCCCGCAGCATTTTGACGGCAACGTTAACCGATTGGCCACGGCCGTTTTGGAGGGTAGCTAATTTAACGAGGCCACCGATTCCACTGCCCAGGGCTGTTTTGATCGTCAACCGATCCAGTGGTATCTCAAACTTGTCTTTGACTTTCACGTCGTTCACGTAAAACCGCGTCGACGATAAGGATTTTCGAGGAGCAATCGCGTCGTCGAAAGTACCTTTTCGATCCATCCCCTGAAATCGGTTGTTATTTATTCTTCATCCACTCATTAAATATGATAGGCAAGGTATGCATGTACACATAAACGTGGAAAAACAGTAGCTCACCTCGAACACGCTGTACTTGCAAAGAGTTTTCGCCACATTTATCTTGGACCGGTAGTAAAAGTACGCGATCGTCAGGCACATCGAAAGACTCGTAACTATCACAATCGGTATGACGACTTGAAACTCAACTGCCCCTAAAATGCGTTGTCATTATTCAAAGTGCACTTGTTGTTTGAGTATTACCATAAAGTTACAATGTGTGTACCGATTGGTTGGTCACTTTTCGTGAACAGTGTCGACTGGAAGCTCGAGCCTCCGGCGGACTCGGCGACCACTCCTATTCTGTAACGACGGCTCGAGGCAACTCCGATCTGCACGTCTGCCGTGCTTTGGTTCTATCGTCCCAAAGATAAAAAAAGGGGGAAACAGTGCTGTAGATATGTACATATTTTAATGCATGCGAGGATTTAATTCATTTCGACTCACCCCGGCGACAGTGACGTCTACAGAGTCAAAATTATCGCTGTCCATAGGTTCAACGATGACCGTGTAGTTATCGGGCAGTAATGTTGGTTTGTCCCAAGCGACTCGGAAATATGCCGGGTTCATCTCTGCTGACTCGGTGTAGATTACTCGCAAACCCGTCACCCGAGGTGGGGCTGCAGTCCATAAATAGTCAAACAAGCATTACTCGGACCTTGATGAATTATTTTCATCCATGGATAATATATTAAATGACATATCAAAAAATTGCATTCACCACAAACGGTCAAATCGTATTGAATGTCCAAGCACGAGGGAGTCCTGAATGTCAGGGTGAAGTTTTCACTTTGTTTATCGCCTACATCGTTTCTCGAAATGACGTACACCACGTCGTCGCTGTTGTAATCGACGTACTCCAATTTTAAGCCAAATTGCCGAATCTACAGTAATAACGACAATAATGTAATCATGTTACCATCCTTGCGAATGAAAAATAAACACATTTACATAAACTCTAAATTTGAAGTAATAAAGTTTTATCGTACGGTGTACATAAATTATTACGACTGATTCATCGAATTGAATGATTGTTGTGTTTTCTCGACATTTCAAATTTAGAGAGTACACGTAAGTCGACAGCTATGAAAGAAGTTTCAAGTATCTTTAATTTTTTAAGAAGATAGAGTCATCACGGAAAAGTAGTTTTTTCCAAACAATGAACCCAGTGTATACATTTTTAAACAGCTATTAACGTATTTTTTCCCAAAAAATTTGATGGATCGCTTTCCTTCCTCAGAGCTGTCTATATGTATTAAAAATATATAAGTTGACGACTATTTTACAATGTAATTCAATTATTTACCGCGTCAACTCGATATTGATGCAAGTTGTGTCTACCTGACCAAAACACAACGTCGTACAAGCAGTTTCGGTCTATAATCGAATAGTTGAAACATCAAACAAAAATAATACAAAACATTAACTTCATGTTTAAATGCAATTTTTAAGATACGGACAGGAAGGATGCAATGTTTACATAGCAATATTTTTTATAAATGATGTGCAAGTACGAGTTATTTATACCATCGGCGGGCTCAATGCTCAGATGAGCTTGCATGCGACCAGGTTTGTTCTTGTTCACTTTGAAATTACCGATGGATACATTATTCACTGCTGCTGGGATGTAACCATCTACAAGGTGGACGTTGTGCCCAATTTTACAACTAGTTTAGATATGGTTGACAACGAGAATCAATGCACGCGCTCGTTTCATACCTGCATGGGTTTCGAACCATTTTGTTGTTTCAGCCGCTGCCACTCCTTCCGCTGTGATTTCACGGACCCGAAACTGATACCGAGTTCCCGACTGTAACTTTGAAAATTCAACGAACCCGTCTCTACTCTGCAAATTGAGGTGTAAACAATGAATATTTTTTTTTTTTTTTTATACGAGACAAAGTATAACGCACTACAACGGGATTACTCCAAACGATCCGACGATTTTTCCTCTTTTCGATCACGTAAATCCCAACGTTGTGCTTCAGCACTAAACGATCAACATCTTTGCACTGGAGGGTGACATTAGCTGCGGTGACATTTTCCACCAAAGGAATTTCTAAAAAAAAAAAAAAAAAAAAAACCCCATAAACAGAACGTCATTTTTTGCTTACAAGTTGCAACAGCTTAGTTAATGTTTAAACTTTGGTACTTGCGTGTTGGTTTGTCAGTAGTTTGTTTGCATATTTGCCGACACTGCTCCTGTAAAAAATACCGGTGCATTATGAAAATTTAACGTAGGCCAATAAAAATATCGAGAAAATATTTTGTACCACGCCGAAATTACTGTAAATTACATTTAATCATATTTTATGCATGTAAAGAGTTTTCAAGACAACAAGCAATAAAGTAACCGTTGCTTTTTTCCTCAAACCAGACACAAACTTTGTTTTAAAATCATTGGTTCACCCGATCTAAGCACTTGAAATTTCTGAAACTCTAAAAAGTACGGTCACTTTGACTTCCAAATACATACCTTCTTCGGCCGTACCTCACGGTCAATTTTTCAACGTTGTATCCGTTTCATTTATATTCATTAAAATCGTAGAAAAAGGAAAAAAATTTATTTTTTACCAAAATCCATGAAAAGCACAATTGTTTACAGTAAAATGGTATTCGTGAGTGTAAATCACACGTACGTTATACTGTGTTGCCTGTTAATAGTATGATTGTCTTTGCGGCATATTATTGCGATAATATTTCCATGTATGTATCATACACGTATAAATCAACACGGTATGTATTTGAACAAGCGTCATGAAACACTTGTACAATTATTAGCGGCAATAAAAAAAAGTCGGTGATCTCAAAGGAAAACAAATAATTCGAGTGTAATCTGATTAAAGAAAAAAAAGGCCATTGTGGTAGCAGATACTTGTGCGAATAACATATTTAAACGTATAAACCGAAACAGATGGACTTTTTAAATGTTAAAGCAATGATAGCGATTGTTTCAAACAAAAGTCACTATGAAAAAAAAAAAAAAAAAAATATGGGTAAGCACAATCAGAATATAACTTACGTCTGAACAGCGTGCCATGCACAGAGCAGTTGATAATACATGGTCTAGGGATGAGTTTTCGACGAGTGGAAACCAAAGAGCGAAAAGTAATGCAAGCAACAGTAGCAACGAGTTCATCTTCTATTAGGATACATCTAAAGCCGCCCCGACGAGTCGTGAAGGGAGCGAAATCGAAGGAAATTCATCGATTCGTCGATTTATTCTATATTGCTTATCTATAATTATGTAAAATATTTCTTATAGACTAAATTTAAATGGACACTATCGAATTCGAGCGATTGCAAATGCAGATGCGGAAGGTTGGCGATCTACTGTCGACTTGTTTCGCTCTTACTTTACGTGCGACTCGAATTTTAAATGTGTTTTTTACGTATTATTATGTACGTACACATACATAAAAAAACGTAGCCCGTATATATATATACACGTAATGTTAGTAACGATGTGTATGTATACATGTACGTTTATTTGTACGCACACACTGTATACTCAAACGTAGAGTATGACAAATTTTTTCCTCCATCGTTGTTTCTTTCTTACCCTAATTTTTTTTTTTTTTTTTTTTTTACATCGAGACGATAAAAACAATATGCTTTACCAAAGATGAAGCGTCAAGTAAACTATTAAAAAATCGTACAAACTTTTACAGAGAAATCACAATTTGTGTCAGTTACGATACGCACAAATATATTGCTACAAATATTCCAGAGCCCTATATGCTTACTACTACGCTACACTGATTTTGTGCCTTGGGTAATGCATGATTTTGAATAAAAACGTACACAAAATTAAAGTAAATTAGCATATAATTAGTGATCTTCGGTAAATGTATAAAAAAATGTTAACGGTAGAGATATCGAAAAAAACAGAATTTAAGATGGAAATAAAATATCAAATTTTTTTATTAGATACAAACAAATAGTTTCTGGATTCTAACGACGGCAAAAGTAAACTAAACATTATTAAGATACTAACAATATTAAGCGTTTAAAATCGTCTCAGAAATAATACTGGTTACTCGTATATCATTCGAAGTACAGATAATGCCTTGTACTAATATCCACCAAACGAGAGTTTCGCTCCAAAGAAGGTTTTTTTCGTAAAAAACAAAATCGAAACTTTAATTGCTCGTATCTCCGTAAATAATAAAGATACCGAAAAAGAACAGTATTATCGAATCAAGAAATTTCAAAAATATTTTTATCGAACATTGTCGATGTTCGGCGTTTATCATCGTCTTTGAAATAAATCTGGTGGCTCTAAGATCGTTAGACACATGTATTACGTTCATAATAAAAAGCCACAAAACCCAAGCTTGACTGTCAACTAAATATTTCTTGATAAAAAAACAATTCAAAACTTTGAATGTCCGTGATGATGGAGATATCGAAAAAAAAACGCTAATTTTAGATCGTAAAGTTTCGATAATTTTATAGCGAAAAATATTGAAGTTTGGCGTTCGTCATCCTCTTTTAAATCATTCTGAAAACTCTACGACCAGTCAACACGTCCATTATTAGCTTTACTCCAAAATCGATATTTTTTGAAAAAAATAAAGTTGAAACTTAAAATGCCTGTATCTCCGTAAATAATGGAGATATCGCGAAAAGGACGTTATTTCGAGATCATGAAAATTCAGAAATTTATACTCGATAATTTTTCAAGTTTGGCGTTGCTCTTCGTCTTTAGAAGCATTCGATTAACTCCACAATCGTTGAGCACATGTTTTACGTCCATTATTTTCACTCACATGGCCGAGGCTTTACTCCAAAATCGATATTTTTTGAAAAAAATAAAGTTGAAACTTAAAATGCCTGTATCTCCGTAAATAATGGAGATATCGCGAAAAGGACGTTATTTCGAGATCATGAAAATTCAGAAATTTATACTCGATAATTTTTCAAGTTTGGCGTTGCTCTTCGTCTTTAGAAGCATTCGATTAACTCCACAATCGTTGAGCACATGTTTTACGTCCATTATTTTCACTCACATGGCCGAGGCTTTACTCCAAAATCGATATTTTTTGAAAAAAATAAAGTTGAAACTTAAAATGCCTGTATCTCCGTAAATAATGGAGATATCGCGAAAAGGACGTTATTTCGAGATCATGAAAATTCAGAAATTTATACTCGATAATTTTTCAAGTTTGGCGTTGCTCTTCGTCTTTAGAAGCATTCGATTAACTCCACAATCGTTGAGCACATGTTTTACGTCCATTATTTTCACTCACATGGCCGAGGCTTTACTCCAAAATCGATATTTTTTGAAAAAAATAAAGTTGAAACTTAAAATGCCTGTATCTCCGTAAATAATGGAGATATCGCGAAAAGGACGTTATTTCGAGATCATGAAAATTCAGAAATTTATACTCGATAATTTTTCAAGTTTGGCGTTGCTCTTCGTCTTTAGAAGCATTCGATTAACTCCACAATCGTTGAGCACATGTTTTACGTCCATTATTTTCACTCACATGGCCGAGGCTTTACTCCAAAATCGATATTTTTTGAAAAAAATAAAGTTGAAACTTAAAATGCCTGTATCTCCGTAAATAATGGAGATATCGCGAAAAGGACGTTATTTCGAGATCATGAAAATTCAGAAATTTATACTCGATAATTTTTCAAGTTTGGCGTTGCTCTTCGTCTTTAGAAGCATTCGATTAACTCCACAATCGTTGAGCACATGTTTTACGTCCATTATTTTCACTCACATGGCCGAGGCTTTACTCCAAAATCGATATTTTTTGAAAAAAATAAAGTTGAAACTTAAAATGCCTGTATCTCCGTAAATAATGGAGATATCGCGAAAAGGACGTTATTTCGAGATCATGAAAATTCAGAAATTTATACTCGATAATTTTTCAAGTTTGGCGTTGCTCTTCGTCTTTAGAAGCATTCGATTAACTCCACAATCGTTGAGCACATGTTTTACGTCCATTATTTTCACTCACATGGCCGAGGCTTTACTCCAAAATCGATATTTTTTGAAAAAAATAAAGTTGAAACTTAAAATGCCTGTATCTCCGTAAATAATGGAGATATCGCGAAAAGGACGTTATTTCGAGATCATGAAAATTCAGAAATTTATACTCGATAATTTTTCAAGTTTGGCGTTGCTCTTCGTCTTTAGAAGCATTCGATTAACTCCACAATCGTTGAGCACATGTTTTACGTCCATTATTTTCACTCACATGGCCGAGGCTTTACTCCAAAATCGATATTTTTTGAAAAAAATAAAGTTGAAACTTAAAATGCCTGTATCTCCGTAAATAATGGAGATATCGCGAAAAGGACGTTATTTCGAGATCATGAAAATTCAGAAATTTATACTCGATAATTTTTCAAGTTTGGCGTTGCTCTTCGTCTTTAGAAGCATTCGATTAACTCCACAATCGTTGAGCACATGTTTTACGTCCATTATTTTCACTCACATGGCCGAGGCTTTACTCCAAAATCGATATTTTTTGAAAAAAATAAAGTTGAAACTTAAAATGCCTGTATCTCCGTAAATAATGGAGATATCGCGAAAAGGACGTTATTTCGAGATCATGAAAATTCAGAAATTTATACTCGATAATTTTTCAAGTTTGGCGTTGCTCTTCGTCTTTAGAAGCATTCGATTAACTCCACAATCGTTGAGCACATGTTTTACGTCCATTATTTTCACTCACATGGCCGAGGCTTTACTCCAAAATCGATATTTTTTGAAAAAAATAAAGTTGAAACTTAAAATGCCTGTATCTCCAAAAAAATAAAGTTGAAACTTAAAATGCCTGTATCTCCGTAAATAATGGAGATATCGCTATTCTTATTCTCATCAAAGTAAACAAGTTATTATGTCTAGCGTGGTTTTGCCCTTTTTATGCCTTCCGCCAGTGTCGCCAGTTGCCACTGTCGGCGCGTCGGCGAGTCGTCTGTGCCGGACGCGCGACACCGGGCCGTTTCATTTCACAAGTGAGTATTCATGTGGCGAGAAACCATGTCGTAGTTCTTTAGTTTTCATGACTCCGCGGTTTACCATACTATTTTATTATCTTGCATATGTGGTCGATATATGAAGTTGCAGGAGTGTAAATGCATTGCATTTGGTTAGCGTCCTTTTTTTCTCAATACCACGCGGTTTTCTCCTAGATCGCGGCTGCTCGGATCAGTCGGATCAACATATCTCATGCACCTGCATGTAAGTGGACTGATAATTATATCCGAACCAAACAAGTTGACTGAGATTGTATCAATGTCGCATACTCATTCATAGTTGAATGTGTTACATTCAAATAAGTGGTTATGCCTATTCAGTACTCGAATTTCGCTGCACACCGTTTTTATTTGTATCGCGTCCAGACAAGTCTTACGCGAGTGACTTTAGTTTTTCGAATCTTAGGCTGTAGAATCTGAGGAGACTAAGTCGGGGCTACCTGATGAATTACAGTTCAAGGGCTATATCTTAAACTTGGATCTCTTGTTCTCTTGGGGACGTTTTAAGAATTTCTTGATTCGCCGAAACAGAAGGCAGAGATGGTGTTTCCTCATTGCTGTTGATCTTTACTTCGTCGACGAGAGTGGACAAGCTCAAGCCTGCTAAATCAAAGGATGAGCGACAGCAGTCTCAGCCTTAGGTTATTTTCAATTTTTTATTTTTTTGCGTAAATTTTTCATTAGTTAGGAACAAATTACCGTAACAAAGACAACTACATGTAAGTAAGTATACCGAGTGTTGTATTCATTTTGCTTTACAGATTGTGTTCACATCGGTGAGTTGTATCATCTGCTACCCAAGAACTCATGTTTTTACTGATATTCAAGTTAAAATGCAGAGCAGCAAATTAAAGAATCTAAGGCTGAGTTGCTATCGACCATAAAGGTTTGTTGCATGCTTTTTTGTTTATTGATAATTGAACATATCATAATTTATAAATGCTTATTTTATTTAAATCGGTATGTTATATACTTCTCTATTTTTTTAGTTTCAATGTTTATTTTTAATGTTTAACATACATTGTTTTAATATTATGTGTATGAGAGTAGTATGCATTTTCTATCTTCCAGTATGATCAAATTATTATAGGTTCGTTTAAGCCCCCCCTTGGTTCGGTTCGGTTCGGTCAGTTCTGGGACCAAAAAACAAAAAAACAAGCGTTCACGAGAGGTTGGTTCCAGAACTGACCGCTTCGGACCTTTGGTTCCAGTACCGAACCGAACCAAGGGGGGCTTGAACAAACCTTATATTTGATCATCATGTGTTAAAATATGTATAGAATTTAATTTAATGTTTGCCAGATTCATTGAAAGAAAGTAAAATTGTTGGTGAGTATAATACCTTTTTTTTTTTTTAACAGTTTTCCGACATTTTTTATAAAAATAATTTGATTTTCATAAGTTTTTAATTTATGCAAAAACCTGTAATAGTTAATTAATTTTATAGTCTACTCTGCTCATTTTCTATATTAACTTGCTCTTACTCTTTACATTGCGTTTATCAGGGTACTTAGTATGTTCCTTTCATCCTTCTTCGGGAGTAATTTGATGAAAATGATGTATTTTTAAATACTAGTGTTGGTGATTTACTTGAAACACGTTGTTTGTAAGTGTAATAAGTTAAAATAGTTTTAAAATATCATATCAGCAATATCACACCTACCAAAAGTAAGTACAAGGAACTCGTAAGTTTTATTTATGATAATATGAAATTGAAATTAATGCTGTTTTAAACATTTTTTTTTGCACAAAATTATGTTTTTAATTATGTGATGTTTTCTATCCTTTCTTTCCATCTAATATCTTTTCAATTTTTAAAAAAAATGTTTCAACAGTAAAGTATGAAATTTAAAAAACATTTTAACACACATTCCCTTTAATTTTTTAAATATTCTACGTATTAACTAAATTTACAGATACCGAATCATTAATGAATCATGGGACATGTAATAAGAGAAAATTTAATATCCCAAATGAGCTGATAATTACAATAAATCAAAGCTATAGAAAATTATTACTCATCATAAAATACCAGTAAGTGTTAAAACGACTATAAATCAATGATGGATTATGTTACACAACTATTTTTTATGGATTCGACAAGATGTGCATGGTAAATTTAGAGCTGATCTTTATTATTTTATGAATTATAAATGACTCATTGACCAAGATTTGTCACGGAATCAAATATTCATCACTGAGTCGATTCAAGTAAACTTATGATTCGTTTGGTATATAATATGAAAAGTCGAATGTTAAATTATCTGGTAATTATTTCATGCTTGGTGTATTTTTTAGTAGTGTAAGTATTAACTAATTTTCTCTATAAAGACAACACAAAGAAAATAATTTACATAATTTTATTTATTAACAGAGGAATGTTGTGATATAATAATATAATGGGCCATTTTACTTGGAATAATTTGCATTAATGTAGTGAAAGAGGAAAACCAAAAAAAATAAGGTGATGCCCAAAATGTTGGAGAAAAAAACAAGTTGCACATCAGTGATCATCTGAAACACAAGTGTAATATTTTTGAACAGTCCGATTATACTTGGTTAGCACAAAAATCCTATTCAACTTACCTTTTTGCAATAAAATGCCTAATTGATGATGTGTAGAAATAGACAGCCAGGCAATGGTACCACTGATGGATAGAAAAGAAGGTTATATTCGTGAAATGACAAAATATTTACTGTTAAAGATTTAGTACTAGGTCGATGTAAAAATAGTATTGAAATTATTATCCATTTTTGGTAATATATCAACAAAAATGATGGATCAAGATTTTAATAACTGGTAAAAGAAAAAAGTACACGTATACCTTTTACACGTCGGGTCAGCAAATGCCAAGTCGTAACTGCCAATGCCGAGTGCCGACGTGCCACAAACATCACATGTGCAAGTGTGTATGTGTTATTTACTTCTGCTTCTGCTACAGTCACGTTCGCCTTTAGGTCGGAAACTGTGCGCTCCAAAAATTTTCTCAGCAGTTGAAACAAGATTCTCCTATTTCAAGTACGTAAATGACTTTGATTTTGTTGAAAGCACTTCTTGTAAATACCAATCCGACATGTACAGGTGTTTTTTTCGCAAATAAGTGATTCATTGTGACAATAGCAATATATCTATAACGCAGCAGCCAACAGCTTATTATGTACGAAATAAGAACGGTTTAGTTGCGGAGCTTCGGTAAACAAGTATGTCTCGCATTACTCATTTGTATTGTTAAAGCTTTGTCAGTCACTAGACCCGCTGTGTAACTCTTCTGTATAGACTTGCTATAACCTATAAAATACTTTTACTCTTATTATATATAATATTTTAGCAATTCTGTTGATTATCGTGTGTGATAAATTCTTTGAAATGAGTCATTACTAAGAATTAATAATAGCCGTATTTTTGTTGGACTGACTGGTAAAATTTGTTTTTCAGGCCAATTCAAATTTTTTTCCAAAAGGTATTCTTTGCCATTGCAGGATGATAACCTTGAGAGGTAAATTTAAAAAAGACAGTGGTGTGTCAAATTCTAAGTCTCAAGATGCAACGGGGAAACGTATTTCCATTCGTGACAAGTTACTCATAAGAGAAGTCTGTTGTTTTTGGCACTTGTGAGTAAATTACGTAAATATTTTACTAATTATGATTATTCATTATTAGGTGCAAGAAATGGAACAAACACTTCCCTTAACTTGCCAAGCGACGTTTAATAACCCAAACTGTCTGTACGAGTTTACCCTAACAATCGAACCAGATGAAGGCTATTGGGCTGGGGGTCGGTTTCACTTTCAAATATATATTCCAGAAGAGTACAACATGCTGGTTGGTATTTTTACTGTGTTACAATTTTATATTTTCTCAAAGAATCTAAAAGAAAAAACAATTGTAACGTCATTCACCTTAGCCACCAACAGTCAAGTGTTTGACAAAACTATGGCATCCTAACATCAACGAAGATGGCGAGGTGTGCTTGTCTATTCTAAGGCAAAACAGCATCGATGGAATGGGATGGGCTCCTACAAGAAAATTAAAAGATATTGTTTGGGGCTTGAATTCTTTGTTCACGGTAAGTTTTTGATTTACAATGTTGAATGAAAAGTTTTTTTCAATACGTAATGTGACACATGATAAAATTAATTTAACATATTTCACAGGATCTACTGAATTTTGATGATCCTCTGAACAAAGATGCTGCAGACTTGTTTTCAAAGAACAAAGAATTATTTAGTATTAAAGTTAAAGAATATGTTTTACAATATGCCAAAAGATGATTGAAGTTTACAATCTTCACATGCCTAATAACTGTGGATTTGTAGGATGTGTTATTTTTCTTACAACTGTCATCGACATAAAGGTGATAACAAGAAGGCACGAGAATCCTAGTGAGCCGTGTAAGAGAGACTTATTTTCATATTGCTCTTCTTTTTTATTTTTCATTATTTCAAAGCATTAAAAAGTCTTAGAAAATGAATACAAAACATAACTTTTACAAACTATACCTACATTTTTTTTTTTTTTTTTGTTTCTAATAACTGTAGTTTTTATGGTTTGAAGAATTAATAATATCGTAATAACACGAATAAAATCAATTGTCGGAAACTAATATTAAAAATTTGTAAAAAAGTATAACTATTAGCTGTAAAGATGCGTTCAAGATTTGAATATTGTGTTGCAAGTAGTAAAAATAATGTTCCATTGCAGCTTGAGAATAAAATAAATTACTTAATTTTAAGCTTGATGTTTATAACAACTTTATTATCATGCTCCTAATACAGAGCGAAATCACATTGAGTTATAAACTGAACTTGGCCCAGTGTACAATAATTTTTGAAAGATACATTTATAATTAAATGACATGAAAGATAGTTTGGACACTGTGAGTTACATGTACATGTTGTTTTGGTGATTGATGAAATCAAACATAACAAAACAAAGTATAAACAAGAAGAAGAAGAAAAAGCTTGAAACAAATTTATTCAAAATTTAGCTTTGCCATCGTTTTTTTTTTTTTTTTTTTTTTTTTTATTTGTTTCGTCGTCGAGAAATGTACATTTGTTTCTTTCGATTGTTCGTTCCTGCCCTTAATCGACCAGAACATCGCTCGATACCATAAAAATAATTAATTAAATACAGTAAAATAACGAAGAACTAAGTTGAATGAGGGGTTGAGACGATGATGATGAATGACGATGATGACGATGATGAAGTGATGAACGAGGGGGAAAAAAGTAGTAGCGTGCGGTGTAAGTGAGAGTAGAAGAAGCTGCAATGTGTATGAGGAAAGGAGATGATGGATCGGAGGGACGAAGATGACGGTGAGCTTCGAGGATGAGGAGGCCACGGTCCGCTCAGAATGTCGTGAGCAGCTCGTCCTGTATGCTGTTCGACCTGGCGAGCTCGCGCTGGGACGAGCCAAAAGCCTCGCCGAGTCTGCCATGTTCCACGGTGCACTGGCGCCTTTGCTCGTGGTACTCCTCGTTGTACTCTTTGAGCCGGTTGCCCAGGAAGACCGAGCGCTCCCGCTTCTTGATCATGTAGTCCGTGGGCATGAGCCAGCGGTGCTCCTGGCACTCCTCCGCGGTAGGTCGTTTGCTGTGAAATTGTATACATTTGTTACTTGTTCTTTTTCTCAGTCACCTCGGTATATTCATAGCAGCCGTATGCTTGGCTGCGTGCCAATGTAAATAATAACAATAATACCTGGGCGCGCGCTTGAACAGCAGCATAAAGAAGCGCGTCGCCTCCTGGCTGAGCTCCTTGTAGAGGTACTCGAAGCGGTACCGCACGAACGTAATGTTCTGGGCCGTCTCTTTGGCGTCGTCACCGCGGAACGGCGAGACCCCCGACAGCAGCACGTACCTTGAATGAACAACGAAGTGAGATGGTTTTGCCCCAAATCCTCTCGCTTGAGGTGCGAATGGAAGAAAAAAAAAAAAAAAAAAAGTTGCGAACGATACGTACGTGAGGACGCCCAGCTGCCAAATGTCCGACTGGGGATAGGCTGCCTCGCGGTTCAGCACCTCCGGGGCGATGTACTCCGGGTGGCCGGGAAGAGGCCCCTCGGCGGGCCACGGGCTTCCGAGGCGGGAGACCCGACGCGCCGAGCCGTAGTCGACGAGCTTCACCTGGACGGAGCGCAGCGAAGCCATGACGACGTTGTCGGGCTGGAGATCCAGGTGACAGACGCCGCGCCAGTGTAGGTACTGCAGGGCGTCGAGGACCTGGCCGACGACGTTGGCGACGCAGTTCTCGCTGTACTCGTGGCGGCTGGCCAGGTAAGTAAGCACGTCCGCTCCCTGAAGCTTCTCGAGGACGAGGACGGCGATGGGCGAGCCCTCGGGCATGTAGGCCGCCTCGAGTTGGCAGACGCGCTCGTGGCGCAGGGAGCGGAGGGCCTCGAACTCGGCCTGGACGAGGGCCTCGGTGTCGGGCCGGCGCTCGAAGATCTTGGCGACGACGACCCGGTCGGTCGAGCGCTCGATGCCCTTGGCCACGAGGCTGAACCGGCCCCGGGCCACCTCGGACACGAAGCCGTAGCGTTCCCCGAGCAAGCCGGGCTCGCGCTGCCAGTCGGGCGGGTTCGTCTCGGCCGCGTAGTCCGGCCGTCCGGAGCCTCCCGGCCCGAGACCCCCGTCGAGGGGCACGGGCCGGCCGGACTCTGTCAGCCGCTGCAAGTGACGCTGGGCCCGGCTCAGCTGGACCGGGGGCACTCCCTCCTGAAAGGTTCCAACGCATCGGCGGATATTATTTACTTTACAGTTTTTCGTACAACTTTGGTACAACTGTATACAGCTTGGGTTGTTTTACCGATGAGTTTTCTCACTTTTGTGATTAACCATTTGTACACCCCGTAAGAAACCGTAACCTGTCTATACTGATCCGATTGTTGTGGGTGGGATTATTTTGTCGCATAATTTCATAAAGTAACCGCGGAAAATGAGCCAACGATAGTTTCGACTGGGCTTAACATTGTGTAGCGACTGACCTGGGTAGCCCGGGTCTTGACGAGGCGCGTCGGACAGCCAAACTCGCCCCAACCGACTCGGTTGCGCGCCGCCAGCCGGAAGTTGTAGCTGGTGTTGGGCTTGAGCCCACTGGCGAGGAAGAACTCGTGGTCTATGTTGTCGGCGAGCTCCTGCCACTCGACCGCGTCGCCCTCGCGCGCCTGCAAGCTGTAACAGAGCACGGGTGCCTGGCCGTCGTGGCGCGGTTGCTTCCAGCGCAGCAGGATCTCGGTGTCGGAGGCGTCGGCTACCTCGGGGGAGTCGGGAGCACTGGGGGTGCAAGCAGCCACCAGCCGGGCTCTGGCCACCGTTTGGCCAAACTTGTTACGCGCCACCACCTTGTACAGTCCCTGGTCGTGCTCGCGTGCCGGGTTAAACTTCAACACCGAGCGCCCCTCCGCGTCCTCGGTTATGGTCACTCGGGCCGACTCGAGGACCACGCTCTCGTTGCGGAACCACTGCACCAGCGGCGCTGGATTACCCACTGCCAGGCAACTCATCTGGGCCGGCTCTCCTTCGCGGATTGGCTGGCTCTGGGGCTGGTTTTTCCCCATACAATCGCACGATGATTATACAAACGATGTATATATGGTTTATTTTTTTTTACCTTTTCGCGCAGGAAGGGCAGCTGTCCGCCCGTGTTGCCCTTGTTCTCTTGCATGAAGGCCTCGACCTCGGCGTAACTGTCGAGGCGCGTGCCCAGCTCGTGGCGCAATCGCCGCATCGTTGCCACGTCCGCCCCAGTTCCGTACTGGTTGATCCTCGCCTTGCGCTCGTCGTCTATCTCCTCGTCCATCACGTCCGTGAACCGTCGTCGCTCCCGGATGATGGGCGTCTGGCGAGCACACGATACCATTACAGTCCACCTCTTGGACAGTGCCGAAATATATTTTCTTTTCTTTCGCACCAACGAGGTTTGGGCAAACATTTAAATAATATCATCCATCGTCGATCTTACAATATTTGTATACAGGTATAGGTACCTAGTGGAGGTGGATTGATAATTTTCTGGGTACTTGAGCTCTTCTTACGTCTTTTAATATAATAATATAAATGTCCCTGGTTCGAATATATTTTTTCTGCCCTCTAAATTCAAATTCGGGGGGTCCAAAATCTTGGTGGATCCGTTCGTGGGATTTGTCGAAAATACTTGCTACATTGTACTTTTTTTTTCCCCCAAATCCCCATTGTATCGTTAATATGTACTCACCCTCCAGTCGTAGGCGTCGTCGGAGAAGACGCGCGAAAAGCCAGTTCCTCGGTTGTGCGCGACCTTCATGTACTCGCGTAGTCGTACTGGGAAATCGGTATCGCGCAGCTGCAGCAGATAGGTGTCCGGACCGTTCTGGTAGCTGTACAGTGAGAACAAGGAGAAAAAAATTCACGTGAAACAGTGAAAATTCCACACACAGCCCATGGTATGTCTCGGTGTAATAGACTTACTGGCTCTCCGATTTGATCATGCCGATCTCCGTGTCGATCGGCTCCCGCGAAGGCACGCGTTTCTCCCAGCTGCTGCTGGGCGGCGACTTTTTGTGACTCGGCCGCTCGGGATTTGGCTCAGGGGTGTAACGGTGACCCGGTGGGTAGACCATCTTCGAGGGATGCTCAAAGGCCCCGCTCAGCCGGCGTCTGCGGTACCAGGTGCGACAGGCCGCGTTTTTGTACCAGTCCCGGTACTGGTTGTAGTAGTTGCGCAGGTGCTCGGAGGCTATCTTGTGGTCGCCCGGGGCCCCCGAGTCGGCCAGCTTCAGCCACGGGTGCTTGAGCGCCGTCTCGGCGTCCATGCGCCGCTCGGTCTGGTACTCGAGCAGCCGCCTGATAAAGTCCTTGGCTTCGTCGGATATGCCGCGCCAGCGGTCCTCGTCGAAGGACCACTTGCCCTCCTTGATCTTGGTGAGGGTCTCGCGGTCGTTGACGCCGCGGAAGGGCGAGATTCCCGAGAGGAGGATGTACGATATGATGCCGGTGCTCCACATGTCCGTGCCGTAATCGACGCCTTCGCCGTTCGGCACCTCCGGAGGCACGAACTCGGGCATCCCGTACATCAGCGTCATCAGTTTGTTGCGGATGATCCGCCTGGCCAGGCCAAAGTCGCCGATCTTGAGGTCGTCGCTGCCCGGGTGTGAGATCAACAGGTCACCGAGCTGTCGACGAAACGATACTTGCTAACTTCACTGTTTGACGATAATTTTAATTTCAAGTCCCAAAACTCCAAGGAAAAATAAAAATCGAACATTCCCACAAATATATGTATACGAGGTTGTCCTGCCTGCGAGTGCAAAGCAAGTGACAATCGCTGGATTTGGTCATTGTGCATGATGTATATTTTTTTACGCCTTTAAAAATCATTTGATCAGTGGTGCACGGAAACCGTGAATAAAAGCAAGCGTGGCGTGATAAAACGTAATTACCGTCAAGCCAAGATGGGCCCAGCCAGACTTGTGCATGTAATCAAGCCCCTCGAGCAGCTGGCGGATGTAGCGCGCGACGTCGCTTTCGCTGTAGTAGGGATTCTTGGTGATGTTGTCGACGAGCTCCCCACCCGCAGCTCTGTTGGGCACTTGGTCAAGGAAAAGCAGTCGACAAACAATGAACCAATACCCGTAATTTGCATATTGCATCGGTTCAACTGTATAGGGTACAAAAGTACACCGTAACGAAGGAAAAAGGATACAGTTCGGTGATGAGAGTCAACAGAGAGGGGTCCTCGGTGTCCTCGTACGCGTCGTGTATACGCAGGAGCTTGCGATGGTTGAGGTTGTTCATAGCGTCGAGCTCGTTGTACATGAGATTCTTGAGCTCGGCCTGGCCGTGCATCTGTTTCGCCGCGAAGCTCTTGCCGGTCGCGCGCTCGACCGCGTGGTAGACCACACCTTGGGTGCCCCTGCTGTAATACCCGAGTGGAGGATTATAATACGTTGAAATTAGAAAAGAGAAGAGTAAATAAATAAAATAAGTATACCAGACTTGCTGCATATTGACGCTGCCGAGCTCGTCCCCGAGATCGTAGTCCTCGCTGAGGCGCCGCTGGCGCGGGACCACCTCCTCCTTGTGCGCGTAGTTCTTGTAGCGCCAGTCCGCCTCGGACTCGCCGACGTGGATCATAGCTGAGCTCGACGCCGAGCCCGCGACGTTGCTCGCCGAGATCGAGTACAGGCCCTCGTCCTTCTGGATGACGTCCTCGATCACCAGACTACAAAAGTCGGGCTTGACGAAGCTCATCTTCACGCGGGTCGACGCGGCCAGGGGCTTCCAGTCCTTGAACCGACACACACGCGTCAATTTTTGGTTACTTTTTTCCACCAGTACCCGGTTGTAAGGTGAATTGTTTCGCACAAAATCGATCGACCACACACGTACCTTGAACCACTTCAACTCCGGGCGCGGCACGCCGACGACGCGCGCCTCCAGCCTAACGGTCTTGCGGACCAAGGTGTGGGTCTCCTCGGGGCGAAGGATGAAGGTGGGGTACTCGGCTATCTCGAGGCGCACCTTTTGCCGAGCCTCCCCGTGCTCGTTCGTCGCAACTGCCTCGTACTCACCCACGTCGCGCTCCAGCATCTTGTTGATGAAGAGGGTCGCCTGGCCGTTCCGCGTGTACGTGTAGTCGTACCGGCCCCCGCTCTCGATCGGCTCGCCCTCGAAGAAGTAGCTCATCCGCGGCTTCGGGTACCCGTACACGAACCAGAACAGCTTCGAGTTTTGGTTCTACATCCAGGGGAGGGGCATTGTTTTGGATTAGAAGACGCGACGAGTTAAACTACCTCGGTGGAAGGGTCAATGAATTATTACCTTGACGCCGTACTGGGTGTCGTACTCCTGGCGGAGGAAGCGCGGAGCTTGGGCGTAGTTGTCGTGGGGTGGGCGCTCGATGTCAAAGTCCTTGGGGAAGTAGGGCGAGCTCTCGGGGCGAAAGTCGATGCCCGGGGGTAGGTAGGGGTAGAACTTGGGTGGCTCGGGCTCGAGCCGGGCCCTGTGGGTCTGGGCGTAGGGCGAGGGCTCGCTGACCCCGTACTTGTTCTCGACGCGCACACGGAACCTGTAGTCCCGGAAGGGTATCAGGTTCCGTATGTCGCAGACGCAGCCCCGTACTCCCGTGCGAGCGGTGAACCAGTCGCCGTCGGGCAGCTCGAGCATCTCGACCTGGTAGGTGACGGGCAAGCGGGGCTGGCCCGCCGATGGTATGGACGGCTTCCAGCTGAGGGTCAAGTGCCGGTCCATCATGCGGCTGATGATGGGGCGATCGGCCAGGGGCAGAGGGAGTCCGCTCTTCTTGTACCGGTCGAGATCGGTGTACTGGTCGACCAGGCGCTTGTTGCGCGGCTCTATAGCTGCACGAATCACATCACCGCGTATTATCTCACTGTACATGGTACTTACACTTGCGCAATGCCACGCGGTATCGGTAATGTCGTACTAACACTCGAATATCATCTCGCCGGTCGACCTGTCCTCGCCATACGGGTTGAATATGCGAAGCGAGTACTTGCCCGCGTCGTCCTCGTCGACGTGGTAGATGGAGAGCCGGAGCAGGCCGGCGCCCTCGTTCTCCATGAGGATTCTGTCGGTCGGCCAGAGCTTCGTGTCGTCGCGGAACCACTCGTACTCGGGCTCCGGGCAGCCGGTCACGCAAGCCGTGAACTTGGCCGTCATTCCCTTGTACACCTCGCAATCGCCGAGACGCTTCAGGAACGAGGGCGGCTCCATCTTTTGCTTCTTATCCCTGAAAAGACAATTTTTGTTTTCTCTCTCTCTCTCTCTCTACCTATACCTATCTACAGTTGTACCGTTTAAGGAGATGAACTGCATGACCATGTACAATAACCATAAACGATGGATTTTACGCTGAATAAGCTTTTTGGAAGTGCACCATAAATATTTAATACGCACAACGAGGGTAAGATTATTGGGGGAGAGAGAGGGAGATGATGATAATGATACTAACAGCTCCTTGAGGACGGAGAGCGAGGCCTCGGACTCGGCGGTGCCCTCGCGGTTGACGGCCCGACACTTGTAGCGACCGCAGTCGCCGTAGTTGCAGTCGTGCACGTAGAGGCAGCAGATCTCGCCGTCGCGGCGTATTTTGTACTTGTCGGGGCGCGTCTCCGTTTGGATGGGCGCGTCGTTGAAGTACCAGCTGATCTCGGGCCGGGGTATTCCGTGTACCCGCGCCAATAACTTGGAACCAAAAAAGAAACACCACATAAGAGTTTTTTCCTCAATAACATAGTTTTTCATTATATTAAATACCTTGGCCTCGCGGCCCATTTCCTGCTGCAGATCGGCGAGCCGCTGCTCAAAGACGGGCGGCTGGCCGGTCTTCCTTACGCTGACGTTGGCGCCGCTACGGTCACTACCCAGGGGATTGCGCAGCTCGCAGATGTAGTCACCCGAGTCGTTGGCCTCGCTCGGGCTGAGCTCGAGCCCGAGTTTGCGGCCGTCGCAGCTGAGACGCAGCCGGTTTGTGGGCTGGAGGGCCCGGCCGTTCAAGCTCCACACGGCTTCGGGCACGGGGTTCCCGGAGATGAGGGCCTGCAGGCACAGGGGCTTGCCCTCCTCGATGCTGATGTCGCGCAGCGGCGACAAGAACTGCGGCGGCTCCTCGGGCTCTCCCGCCCGCTGCCGGCTGGCCACCTCCAGCTTTGCTCTGCTCGACCTGTCGCCCCGGCTGTTGCTCGCCACTACCTCGTACTCACCCGCGTCTCCCGGGCCCGCCTTGTCTATCAACAGCGCCTGGCTACCGTCCGGCTGATCCTCGATCCGCACGTGCTTTCCGTCCGGCACCACCTCCGAGAATACACAACGTTTATCATTCATTACTTTGGAAAACAACTCTTTTTGCACAGGGCAGGGCTCCACGATAGTAGGTTTTTTTTTTTTTTTTCCGTTTTTTCTCTCACCTCATGGCCGTTGTGGGTCCACTTGAGAAGGGGTTTCGGCTTCCCGACGGATTTAACCTCGAGCTTGGCCGGGAAGCCCTCGACGACGGTGGTCGGCTGGAGGGTGGCCTCGAAGGCCGGCTCGGAGTCTGCCTCCTCGACCTCGACGACCGCCTCGCCCGTGACCTCGCCCAGGGCGTTGGACGCGCGCACCGAGTACGTGCCCGCGTCCTCGGGCCTCAGCCTATCGATCGACAAGCCGATCAGGCCGTTGGGCTCGTTGCTGAAGTATATCTCCTTCGAGGGCCTCAGCGGCATGTTGTCCTTCAGCCACTGGACCTGCGGGTTCGGGAACGCCACGATCTGCGCCTCGAGCTTCAAGGGCTCGCCCACCTTCGCCTTCACGTCCTCCAGACCCTTCTTGAAGTACGGCTCCTTCGCCTCGGCTGTCAATCACCCAACAACGCATAATTACACACGACCCGTGCTCCCCCCTCTTTAATCGGTAGAAAAGAATTTAAAAAAAAAAAAATGGTAACTCACGCTTGACGGCGACTGAGCACTGCGAGGGATTGACGCCGGCTGAATTCGAGGCGACGACCTTGTAGGCCCCCGAGTCGATGGGCCGAACCGAGTCGATAGAGAGCCGCATCGTGCCGTCGGGGAGCACGTCGAGCTTGAGGCGCTCGTTCGGCACGATCATCTCCCCGTCCTTGTACCATGCCTGTAGGAAAATTCATTATGGAATTGGGATATCAGTAGATTAGGTGTATCTATTTCCGTCAATTGAGTGTACACGTACCACGAGGGGTATGGGACTGCCGTCGCACTTGGCAAATAGCTCGAGGGGCTCGCCTTGCTCGAGGTCGAGCGAGGGCGGCAGGCTGCGGAAGAACTTGGGCGGGAATCGGGTGAGCGAGAGCTCGGTCTCGCAGCGCGCCGTGCCCGCTAGATTGGTGGCCACGCAGCTGTAGTTGCCCGCGTCGCTCTCCCCAAAGTGCTCGATCGTGTACTTGGCGCTGAGCTCCTCGCCCTCGGCGCTCGACGTCATCGTGTTGCGCATGTCCTCGCGGATCTCCTCGCCGTTTTTCAGCCAGGCTATCGTGGGCCTCGGGTACCCCGTCAGCCGGACCTCCGCCTCGTAGTTGTTCTGGTCGCGCACCGACTCGTAATTCTTCAGCTCCTTCGTGAACACCGGAGGCTGAGCTGAAACCGAACGACACGCCATCGTCGCGATTATCGAGATGTTCGTTCTCTTGGTTGTATAACTTTCGACTCACTGAATGGCTTCAGCTGGGCTTCCTCCGAGGCCTCGCCCATCTCGTTGCTCGCGACAATCTTGTAGCTTCCGGCATCCGACACTTCCAGCCCCTTGATCTTCAGCCTTAGTTTAAGCAAGTTTAGCACCAGAAACAAGCGTTTTGCAAATTATCATTGGGCAGTGATTTTTTTCACGCGAACAATATGTATATTAAAATTCACGCTCTGATTCGCGTTCATCTAAACAACTTTTGTCGTTGTTGAACGGAATTTTTGGTACAAAGTAAGTCACAGAGACATTTTTTTTTTTTTTTTTTTTTTTTTTTTTTTTTTTTTNTTTTTTTTTTTTTTTTTTTTTTTTTTTTTTTTTTTTTTTTTTTTTTTTTTTCTTGAAATCCTGATGAGAAATTAAGATTTAACATTCGTCAACGGTACAAAAAATCCCTTACCAATTTTAATTTACAAAGTAATATCATTTCGCGTGGAATACCTGTATTTTTTCTGCTTGTATTCGTCTTCGGTGCTGAAACGGCGACCAGCATCCTCGGTTACGTCGCGGCCATCACGCTGCCAGACGACCTTGGGTTTTGGATTGGCCTTGATCACCGCCTCCCATACCACGACCTCGCCAACAGGGGCCCGAAGGTCCTTGAACTCCTCAAATACCGGAGCGGTGCGCAAATTCAAATCAGCCTGCGAATAATAAAGATTACCAGTATATAGTACATGTATGCCACTTCCTAAAGACTGTTACTCAATGAAAATTTATTTTCATCATCACGAATTTACGTCCTTTTTGTCGTATCTTTAATACATAAGGGAATATGAGCGTTTAAAATTTCGCAAACATTCTACTTAAAAAATATCGACATATCATTGAAATTTTCTGCTTAGGCATACGTGGAGGCGTAAATTACACAAAATAAGCCTTGAAAAAGTATCCCGATTCTTCCTATATAAGCAGCTCCTCAAACGTCACCCAGAAACATATACTATATATATATATATATGTATAAACATTTTTATTAATAAATGGGATCTTAATTTAACGTCCTATTTATTGTATTTTCAATATTTATAGAGTCATGTGTATTTAAAAGTTAGCAGTTACTTTGCACCCAAAAATTATGACATAGAAATGAATTTGGCATTTTAGGCATAAGTACTCAAATAATCGTAAAGAAAATTGTATGATTCAATGTGTGTACTCACGTTAGTCGATGCCTCCCCGTATTCGTTTTGCACATGTAGCGTGTAATTACCCACGTCATCGGGCTGGCAACCTTTAATCTCTAGTTTGTACGTGCATTGCTTCAGCTGCAAACAAAAAAGGGCATTATTTTATAAATGATTTTGTTTTCTTTGAGTTGACACAGGGGTATGGCGTGTAAAACTTACCGAATCTTCTATGACTTTACTCTCGACCGTGGCCTTGTATCTGTCGTCCTCGGTGTCTATGACATTGCCATTCAACTTCCTAAATAAAAAAAAAATGAAAGCATAAACTTGGTGGCAAAGAAAGAAAGAACCATTGTTGGTCTTGATTTCGATGTTTTATTATTACCATGTAGCTACTGGTATGGGGTCACCGACGATAACCGCCCTAAAGACGGCAGTTTTGCCTTCGTCAACGTCGGCATCGCTCAGTGGCTCGAGGAGCTTCGGTCTTCGGAGCTCGTCCACCGGCTCGACGTTCAGGAAACCCTCGAGTGACTTTATTCGATTGAAAAAGTAAACAAAATGTGTAAGCCATTTTCTTGCCAAATAAAAAATCGCTCATTTTTTTTTTTTTTTTTTTTTTCTGTCGAGCGATACGAGGCATTGGCTGTTCAGCATCATGTTACACACATATGTGTTCATAGGAAAGCAGATATGCATATGAATAATTGTATCCTACCAAAGGCATGCATCATTAAATAATTTATTATTTCCCTGACTACGGCAATATCGTTTGCCCATACATTTACATTTCTACATTTTTCGTTTGCAGGCCAAATATTTCAACCGATTCTATGCTTGTAATACGCGCCTGTAGAGAATTCACTAGTAACTTCTGATAGTTAGGTATTTGAGTCACTAGTCGCGGGGCGCTGCTGATTGCTTGATTCATCACACCCCGTGCAGGTGCAGCTCTCTCAAGCTGTACGCGTTTTGATCTCCCTGTATATCCACCAATCAGTGCTAATTTATTTAATTTTGCTTATTATCCGCTCCTCCGTACTCTTTATGAGTTTGTGACAAAGCAACCCGCTTGGTATTTGCCGCAATTCTTGTTTTGCTCCAATCTAGCTGGTTATGGGCCCAGAACGCTTCCACTGTACGAGTGAAGTGAGACGGTAAGTACAATTTTTGATCGGCCGTTAGCCATTTACGAGCGTTAATACCTATACGTGTACGTATATTCATTGGGTTGTTTTATTTTCAGCATTGACATGGATGATGATGATGATGGTAGCCCTTCGAGGAAGGGCAAGGAAGCAGCCGAGCCTACCGAGGATGTGGAGAATATTATGATGTACCAACGTGTTCTAGAGGGTGACAAACATGGCGGGCATGCTGGATATTTTTCACGAGGTAAGGGTCACGCCTTCATTGCTCTGCACCTACACAAAGGCCTATTTACAATAAACCGTGTATACGCTCAACGCGTCGTCGCTCGTTGATTTTGGAAAGCGCCTTCACACTCTCTCTCCGCCATTTATTACTCGTATTTATTCACTCTTATTAGACTAACATATAATTCGAGTTAAGGTTGTGAGTCCGAAAATCTACCTTCAACAGAAGCGTCTCGAATTTTAGTGTCACTTCGTAGTAATGCCGTATATTTTTTTTTGTCACTGATTAAAATACGCTTATTTCATAGGATTAGAATCGGATCTAACTCAGGAAGAGCTGCGAGTTTTGTCAGAAGCTGCAGAGGAAGCCGGCTGTGATTCGCAAGTTACTTTTAATATAATAGAAAATCTCAAGAAGACGACCGAAGAAGAAGCGACCAGGTCCAAGCATTTTGAAAGTCATTCGTCGATTCAGAGCATCGAGGGAGCCTCTAAATTGACTCAAGATGAAAATTCGGTAAAATTCTATTCGGCCTCCAACCTTGAAAAATTCGGAGGTAAAAAGCTTATGATAGTTTTTTTTTTTTAACTCGATTTTTTGAGTGTAATAAAATGGCACTGTTCTAGATTCGCTTGGAGCGCAAGGTAACCGCATTAAAAATTTTATTGATACAGTCCAACAGCTATTTAATTCGAATGAGCGTTCAATTAGCGCAATGCGAGCACTTACAGAATTAAATGATGAATTTTCTCAAGACATTTAGTTGGGTTTCTAGCATTTAGCTGCGTGTTAACTGCGTCTCGGTCTATATAGTTCCAACTTTGAAGATACGTAGCAGCATATCGAGCATTAGAAGAACTTTAGATAGAAGATGAGGAAAAAGTGCTCAACTTGAATGAAATTAAAAAAAGCCATTGTTAATTATTATAACTTGTGACATTAAATTTATTTGTGCGAGTCTTTGTTCTAACTTTTTGTTTTATTGTATCTGCTCTTCTGTGTCCGTTTTGTATTTTTAATAAAGTTTTCTGCTTCGCATTTATCTTTGCTTTTATTTCACACTCCACCTTACACAGCCATACGTATTTCATCAAAAATAAAAAAAATTTTTTATTAATTCAATTTGACATTCAAACAAAATTTTTCTCAACTTTTTAACAAGTTTATATTCTATTGATTTCAGAACACTAATATATAACCGATTGAAAAAGGGTACGGCAGAAAAATTAAAAAAAATTGCTTTCCAAATTAAAGGTACAGTGTATAACGAAGCTGAGATCAGTAATGTGCAGTATATTAGCATATTGATTAGCCAATGAAAAAGAGAGACATATAGAATTGAAAATGAGTGTCAACCTTTTCGCCCAGCTTATTGGTGAATACGACGCTGTAGACGCCAGTGTCTTCCTCGAGTGCCTTGTTCACGGACAATTGGAAGACCTCGCCGACAGTCGAGTACTGCACGCGCTTCGATATCTTCAGGGGATTGCCGTCCTTGAACCACTTGGCTTCGGGTCTGGGCAGCCCTGTCACTCTTATTTCGTAGCTCGTGCTCTGCGTCGCGAATATGTCGCGGTCCTCCAGCGTCGAGCTGGCGATTATTGGTGACGCTGCGCAAAGTAGGTGCATCGAGCCAGTTACCAAATCATTTCACTTATATATATATTATACGCAACTTTGGCTCGCATATTTTTTTTTTTTTTTTTTTTTTTTTTATTTTTTTTTTTTTTTTGCCTTATTACATTTGTTTTCTCTTTCCTCCCCTGTGGACCCCTGACTCGCTTTTTCCACACCGAGCTCCCTTTTTAGCGTCTCTCTCATCATTTAATACTATACATCCATGCGCTACAGATGAAAACTCCTGGGGGCGATCCAGCCCAGGTCACGACGACTGCGACGACGGTGAAGGAGAAGAAGAAGATGGCGAAGCACGGCCGCGGGCTAATATTGAATTTTAAGAAAGTCGGCTCTACACCCCCGCCCCCAAACACTAGCAGTAGGAGGGATGGGAGGGTGGCCCCCACAGTATCAACCTATACCGTGCAACCGAGATAATAAAAATATGGACGTATAATTTGACGGCAAGGTCTAGAGGTCCAAGCGAGGGGTGAGGCTAAGGGTAGTTCATGAAATGAGCGCTGATAATGCCCCCTGTAGTTCCCCTCCTCTGCCCGGCAAGCGAGCGGAATTTCAAAGCTCGCCCAAGGTTTTATATTGGGCATTTTTCGGCTA